ATATAATAATAATAATAATAATAATAATAATAATAATAATAATAATAATAATAATAATAATAATAATAATAATAATAATAATAATAATAATAATAATAATAATAATAATAATAATAATAATAATAATAATAATAATAATAATAATAATAATAATAATAATGATAATAATAATAATAATAATAATATCAGGAAAAAAAATCTTCTATTATATTGAAAATTGTCACATTACTTTCGCAATGAATGATAAGTGACATGGAGAGTTTTACATTTGCATAATCTAAAATCCTCCACTCCCACTCTTGTCATCTCTTCGAACTTCACAGTTACTATTTGCTTGCAAATTTTATTAATAATAATCATCATAATTATCATTATCATTGTTATTATTGTTAACATTATCATCATTATTATCAATTGGTTGCTGTACACATATTTTTAATTCATAGTTACATTTAATTTATTTATTTATTGATGAAGCTTTTAGCAGAAGTGCATTCATACGTCCAATCTATTCCATTCCAATTTCATTTCATTTCATTCATTCAAATTTATTCACTCAATCTCTTCCTTCTTTTCCTTACTTACCTTCTTATCATCCTTTTCTTCTCCTTTTTCCCCTCCTCTTCCTCCACCTTTCTTCACTTCATCAAGCAAATTTCCCCACCCTCCTATCCCCTGTCCCCTCCCTTCACCTCTTTCTCCTTTTTCTCTAAATATTATTTGCATAGCAAAGTATCCTGTGAGCACATTTACGAAACTCATTAATTTCTTTTTCCTTTTCCATAATTTATTCGACGCTTCCCAAGATTCAACAACTCGATTCATTCTCGGACATCTCCCGTTGTCGACCATATCCAATTTGCTAAGTAACGTCCATCTGCTCATCATTATCATTATCATCATCATCATCATCTTCATTATCATCATCATCATCATCATCAATCATCATCATCATCATCATCATCAATATCCACAATAGCTTAAATTACTTACTTTATTTGATAAGTTTTATCTTTTTCTTTTAATTTCTCACTTGAATAACATTGTTTTTCGTCTTTTCTCCTCCTCCTTCTTTTTCTTCATCAATCTATCATTCATTTTCAATCATTTCCTCACTAACTTATCATTTCATTTTTCCTTTCTTTTCTTTTCTTTTTTAGATTACTTTTCATGGCATTATTTTCATTTTACTTTTTTTTTCTAAGAAAATTCGATAATATTTTATTTTTGTAATATAATATATTTAATTGAAATCAATCTAAATTTTGGCTTGTTTAAAATATTATAATTATAGGTTTAATTATAATTTTTCCATTCGTTCGTATTTTTTTTAACATAGAAAACAATAAATTATGAATGATTAAAACGGAAAAAAGAAAAAAAAATGAAATGAAAAGTTAATAATAATGAATTACAAATATTTTTAAGTTACAATTATGGTTCATAAAGTTTTTGTAAAAACGCTTATACTTATACAATATTATGCATATGTCATCCTATCCTACATTCATACTCATTTTCTTCTTTTAACATTGTTGACATTACCAATTAGCAATTAACAAATTCAAATTACTTCTAATATCTGTGATAAAAAATTTCAATTTCACGATTTAAGATTAAAAGTAATTTTAGAACAAAAAAAAAAAAGAAAAAGAAAGAAAATGGAGAAATATGCTGGATATTTAAAAATATGAAATTCTAGACATTTAATTAATTATTAGTTTGATTGAATTTTTTAAAATTCTTTAAGTTCTTTTAATCTAATTCCATTTGCTAACCTTTCAATATTATTAGCTATGATTTTCTTTTTATTTTGCATTTTTCTTACATCAGGAAATTAGAAAAATTTTACGAAAATATTTACGAGCAATAAAGATAAATTCATGCATAACATTTAGCAGTAACAATTGCTCCCAAAAGTTAACGAATAATATTAAATCAAACGATCGATAATATAATCAAAATGATTGCGAGATTGTGTCGAATAAATATATTAATATTTTTTTTTTTTTTTTTTTTTAAAGAAATTGAAAAGTTATTGAATAATTGCGCAAACATTAAACAAAATTTCTTTTTGTTGAACATTTTTATTTACCATTTTTTAAATGATTGATTCTTTGCACTTTTATTTCGTACCTTTTTTTTTTCTATCACCAATTAATCCATTATTTTCATTTTTTTTTTATTTTTATTTTTTTTTCCGAGAAAAGTTAATGATAGGATCAAATTCATTGGAATGTTATGTTTAATCAGCTAATCGACCCAGTCAACAATGTTTTCCAAAAATAAAAATAAAAATTTCAATAACAATTTTGTACAACAAATATGAAATTTTTCATTTTTTTTTTTTTTTTGTCAAAAGATTTTATTGTCCTTTTTAATTAAAACTTTTTGATAATTTGATTACAATAATCTTTCTCATTTAACGATATTTTTTGTGATCGCTCATTCTTTTGATTTTTGTTCTTTTTTTTCTTTTTAAAAAAATTTTCTAGCACAATGCTTGCTTATATGTGTCTTTCTTTCTTTTTTTTTTTTTCGTACTATCTCAGGTGTAACCATATTTTACACAACGATAAGGTAAAATTCAATTATTATGTAAAATAATTCAAAAACTTGAAAATTCAATTAACTACCTCAATTTGTTCAATTTTTTTCTTTTTTTTGATTACACTTTTTTCCCTCGATTATGTCTGAACAACAAAATTTTTCAATTAGTTTTTTTTTCTTTTTTTTTTTTTGCACAAACCAAACTAATAAGCTTGCTCATTATGCAAAAAGTGCGAGATCTAAGTTATTATGTTTCCTTGCTTGACTGACACTTAATGGTTGTTAAGAGAGTACTTAAAAGCTTGACTGATACTTAATGAGGCATTAGTCATACATGAACAGGAAGAGATACAAACACCTCAGAAAGATATTCAAATTCAAATTCATTCATTTATTTTATATTAAATTATTTTGTACCCATTTGAATGATTTCAAATTTCTTAACTTCCTCCTTTTAAAGCAATATTTTAATGTATTGTTTAATATTTGCGCAAATATTGCATAAAAATGAATAACAATCACATTATTATGTTTATAAAAGCGCAAAAATATGCGATTATTTCATTTAAAAAAAGAAAAAGAACAAAAAGATTAGTTGGATATTGAATTAATTATATTTAGCTAAATTCAAATAGAAGTAAATTAAAGATATTTGAAATTTGAACGAAAGTAAATTTGATATCCCAAATCAAAATGATAGTATAATGTTAATTATTAATTAATGAAATTTTATTAATATAATTTAGAAGTGATATGATAATGATAAATTGACATTATTGTTGCTATTATTATTATTATTATTATTATTATTATTATTATTATTATTATTATTATTATTATTATTATTATTATTATTATTATTATTATTATTATTATTATTATTATTAT